TATACTGTCATATACTGTCATATACTGTCATATACTGTCATATACTTCATATACTGTCATATACTGTCATATACTTCATATACTGTCATATACTGTCATATACTCTCCTATACTGTCATATACTCTCCTATACTTATACTTTCATATACTTTCATATACTTTCATATACTTTCATATTTACCAAAATATATTTTTTGATAAATATAACAGTATATAGCATCAAACAATTTATATATTTACCGAACAAACAGTTTTGAGTTACTTTTAGTAGACTTTTTTTTAGTTAATATACAGACTGTTGGTGAATGTTAAACATATTAATTATCAACCATAAAGAAGACATGATTGAAGGTCTGTTGAGGTAGAAAAAGGTCTTCCCGCAAGAGCGCTCGAAAGATTCCAGGAGTCACTTGAAACTTTATACTGAAGAGGCTTTGAAAGTAAAATATTGCTGCCACTCCTCCTATATATTCTATATATATATTGTATATTGATGGAGATTCTCCACTCTAAAAGCACGCCAATCGAGACGAAAAAATAGAACGCTCATACTTCAAAGACACCAAAATGGACCAATTCGCAAAAAGGAAATATGTTTTATAATACAAAAAAATATATAATATCGTTAATACATTTGAAAATATTCATTTATTATTGAATTCTCTATTTAGTTTGTTAAAAAAACTAATAAAAATCAAATAATAATATATAAATATTAATAGAAAATCTTGTTAATATAAAAATTTTAAATCCTTTAGAGGACAATATTTTAACATATTTTATACTTAAATTGAAGCTAACAATTTGTAATCAATTGTCATCAATTTATATACAAATAAATAACATTAAATGAATATATTATTTATTGGTGAGATTTTTCTCACAATCATAAATAATATTTCAATTTCAATTTGAAAATCATCACAACAAAACTGATTTATTTATTATATGTTTAAAATGTATTAATAAATAGTAGATTTAATAAAATTAAAAAAATACTCTTTCGAATAAAATAGTTAATTGTAGAAATATATTAAAATATAATTATTTTAATTAATAAAAAAGTTGATGTTAAAAAAAAATATTAAAAATTTATTTTGTCACAAATATTATTATTTCTCCATAAATAAATTGTAATTAAAACAACATTGACTATATAAATATTAATTTTATCAAATGTTAAATGAAACATGTTTTGTACAAACAAAACTGCGCAATTTTTGTTGTTTATTTTCGAAATTTTATGGATAAATAGATTTATTTCTCAGCGCGTGTAATTTACAATCGCAAAGAGCGCTAATAAATGATGTGCAGTTTTATTTGGTGTTTTCGCGGCAGCAATTAACTCCACCAAAAAAAAAACAGGGACACTAAAAGGACATTGACAAAAAAAATCAGTGGGACAAAAAAAAGTTCCAACAAATCCTGTCCATCGAAACGCCATCGCAAATAATCAAACTCGTTTCGATTGCAAAAAAAAATCGTAATATTTACACTGTGTGAAAAATATACATGATTGTAAAAAAAAACATTTTTAGTGCTACACTTTATTAATTGTGATGTGAATACATAAATGAAAATTGAAAGTTTGTAAAGTTAATTTGTCTCAAACGTTTCTAAATTTATTAATAATAATAATAGATTTATTGCAGTTTATTTTGCTAGTTTACTAATTGTGTAATATAGCCACAATTTAACTTCACTTTTTGGTGTTAGTTTAGTAATTGTGTTGAGGCTATATTTTATGAATGAAAATCGAAATGTTATAAAGTTGATTTGCATTAAATGATTCAAAAGTTTTCGCGTTTTAACATTCAAAAAGTTACAATATCGATTTACACGTTTTTTTTTTCAGAAAATTTTCTACCGTGTTAAATCTTGGGATAAGTGTATATAAATATATATTCGTGAAGAAAAGATTGCAAAAGACAAAATGTAATTTATATGAAATAAAGAATAAAAATGGGTTTAAGGTAAGAAAAGCGAAAATGCAGTAGATATTCAATAAGATGAGATGAGGAGAATAGATGAGATGAGCTGGAGTCGTGCACATCCTTTGGAAGCAACACGCGCAGTTAATACGCAAACACGAGGGGCCCTCGCAGGACCACGCCAAGCGTAAAATATCCTTCTGCAACTTCTGCAGGATTTCCTGTGGGATTGAACGCTTCGTTAAACTGTTGCCGTCAAACACAAACATTTCATTTTTTCGTTCAGAGCTTGTTGTTGTTGATGTTCTTGTTGTGTTTCTTCGCTTTGTTTCTCCTCGTTTTCCACCGTTCCTTCTATATAGTATTTTTTTTTTCTTCCAGAATCCGAACAAGTGAATGTGAGTGTGCTCGATTTAGGAGAGGGTCGATCGCTTCATCCCTTCGCAACGAAAGCCACTTAATTCCGATTCCGAATGAAATTCAAATTTCGCATCCGAATTCTAATTAAATCAGCGGCCTGCGGGGGATAAAATATATAATTGTCCGAAAGTTCCGAAAGGGCACAGCCCCGTCCGGAATGAAATTTATTTATATTGGAAATAAATTAAACGCCCTCGATTTGCATTTATATAACTAACAATGTCGTCGCCCCACCACCAAAGCATCCCTCTTTAACCGAAGAGAAGAGAAAAACGGACTGGAATTAATAGTGGAGGAAAGAAAATTAAATGAATTACAAGAAGTGCGAAAGGTCGAAGATGATGCAGAGGAATTACGACCAATAAATGGCGTCAAGTTTGCATCCCTTAAGTTCCGTGCGCCGCCAAACTAATTTCGCATTTAAACTTCGCATCATCCCTTTGTTATGTTAATGTTTTATTGCGCTTATGAAATACTCACCCTAAGTATTCACGAAATTGCATTTACCGAGTTTAAACGCTCGTTTACAATTTCGGTTTCCACTTTTTTTTCTCCTTCTTACAATCCAATTTACAAGAAATTTCAAAGTTACTACATTCAACTTGGAAGTATTAGTACATACCACACATATCCCACATCAAATTCGTAATAAAATTACATATTTTATCACGAATTACTTAATAATGGATATTTATAATTGGAATTAAATAACTTCAATAATATTTTACTATGAGTAGTTTCTATGATATAATTATGCTTACATTTAGATTTGTCTTCTGAAACTTGTTTTGGAAATTAAGAGAAACAAAAGATGATGTTTAGGTAATATCTATATCCTTTTTTTTGTCAAATACAGAATGGTAAAAGTGATTCAAATTTGTGTTAATGGGCATTAAAAGCAACGGCCCAAGAAGCTAAGCCTCATCAACTCTAATTTTGCGCTATTAAAACCGAGGGAGGGTCGTGTAAAAAGGATTAGCTTTTACACCAATTAAATTCGAATCGTTCGGAAGTTCTGACCCCGACGCGCTTTTCATTCAGCGAAATTAAGTATTTAATTTTTAACGCTAACAACTTTTGCATTTAATAAACAAAAAAATGTGTACAATTTAAGTGTTTTAAAGATTAACATACTTAATGTTAGTTTAGTGTAGGAGAAGTATTAAATAGTTTATTTTAGTTATGATGATATAAACTAAGATAATTGATTGGTATGCCACCAATCAAGCATCTTGGAGAAGTACTAGAACCAGAGACGTTCGTTGGTGAAATGCTAGAGTCAAGACAGGTGGAATAGTGTATATGAACCATTATTATTTCAAAAAATAAACATCAAATATGAACAAAAATTTATAGTTTTAATTAAAGTTATAGAAGAAATATATTATTTTCTTGCAAATCTTTAGTGAAAAATATTCAATAATTACTATGTATGTCAGTTCATTAATTTTATTTTTTATCATTTATCCAGAATATTTTAACTATTTTGACGTTAATTTTTTTTATAGTAAATCTCTGTGCTTTTTGATTATCACAGAGATTCTAGTGATAGTAAAGATATACGAGTAAATATATTATCTTGAGAATGGTTAAAGAATTAACTCAGAATGTTATACAAGTCTTTTAGATCAATAAGATAGAAGAAATAGTGAAAAATGACCATGTTTACAAAAAAAAGTAATCAATCAGCAAGACAATACAACAGCTCACAAAAATGTTTTTACCAAGGCAAAAATCAACAAATTAATGTATGAAGTGTTTGAATATCTACCATATTCGCCAGAGCGTTTTTCATCCATTCAAGAAGCAATAGATGCTCTAGACCAGGGTTTCCTAAACTTTTCTTATAACTGAATACTTCGTAAAACCATTGATTATTTATTTTGGAATTATTTAATTCCCAATTTCCCAATTAACATAGTTTGAGAAACTACGATTACTGTCGTTTCCCAGGGATGGTTTTCTGGACACTGTGGGATATCTTCTTCTGTTGTCTGTTGTGGAGCCTTAGGTTTGGTAAATAATGAATCCAACGTGTTTTAATTGTTGTTTAGGATTAAAATATGCTTTAATGTGTGATAGGTCTAAAACTCTGTAGTTTATTGTTTAATGTTCTTCCTAATTTTGCATCTGGTTTTC